TCCTAGTAGGATGCTGTTAGAGCTGGCTGCAGCGCCATTCGGATTGTATGAGTTGGGCCCAGGTCGAATAGGTTTCGATTCGAGCTGGACGCAGCTCTAGTAGGACTATTGGAGCAGGACGCAGCTCTAATAGGATTCTATGAGAACTAGGCGCAGCTCTATTGCGCCCCCCTGAGAAATGGGCGCAGCTCTAGCAGGATGCTGTTAGAATTGGATGCAGCTCGATTCGGGTTTTATAAAAGTTGGGCGCAAGGATTGTATGAGAGCTGGACGCAGCTCTAGCAGGATTCTATTAGAGCTGTATGCACCTTTGTTAGGGTTAGTTTGGAGCTGGACGCAGCTCTGGTCGAGCTCTCGTACACCTGGACGCAAATCTAGTAGGATTCTATGAGAGCTGGACGTAGCTCCAGTAGGATCCTATGGGAGCTGGGCGCAGCCTTGTTAGGAATTCATTAGAGCTGGACGCAGTTCTTCTGGGTTCTCGTACAGCTGGACGCACATGTATTGAAATTATATGAGCTGGTTGCAGCTGTAGTGGGATTTTATTTGAGATGGTCGGGGCTGTATTAGGATTCGAGTAGAGCTGGTTGCAGGTCTAGTAGGCTTCCATAGGGTCTGGACGCAGCGCTGGTAGGAATCATCAGAGTTGGACGCAGGTCTGGGAAGAATCGATAAGAGCCACACGCAGCTCTAACAGGATTCTAGCAGAGTTCGACGCATATGTAGTAGGATTTGTTCAAACTTGACGCAGCTCTGGTAGGATTCGATCCGGACTGGACGCCGCTCTAGTGAGACTTCATGAGGGCTGGTCGCGGCTTTAGTATGATTCGATCGTAGCTGTACGCATCTGTAGTAGAACTCGATTGGAGCTGATGAGCGCAGCCCTAGTCGGATTCTATCAGAACTGGGCGCAGCCCTGGTATGATTTAATTGGAGTTGGATGCTGTTCTAGTCGGATTCTGTTAAAGCTGGACGTCGCTCTTCTAGGATTCTATGAGAGCTGGGCGCAGCCCTCATTGGATTCTATTGGGGCTGGACGGAGCTCTAGTAGGATTTTACACGAGTTGGACGCAAACCCAGCAAGATCCTAGTTGACGTCTACGCATCTCTAGTAGGATTCTATGAGAGCTGGGCGCACCACCAGAAGGCTTCCATTCTAACTGGGCGCAGCGCTGGTCTGATCTTCTTAGAGTTGGACGCAACTCTGGTCGGATCCTATTCGGGCTGGACGCAACAGTAGTCGGATTCCATTGGATCTGGACGCAGTTGTGGTAGGATCTTATGGGAGCTGGACGCAGCTCTGGCGCAGCTCCAGTATGGGGTTTATTAGAACTGGACGCTTTTCGAGTGGGTACCTATGAGAGCTGGACGCGGCTCTAGTAGGATTTTATTAAAACTGGACGCAGCTCTCTTGGGTTTCCATCAGGGCCGGATGCAGCTTTAGTAGGTTTCTTTTCGAGCTGGACGCAACACCAGCACGATTCTATCAGAACTGGACGCGTCTCTAGTCTGCTTCTATTGGGGCTGGGCGCAGCGCTAGTAGGATCCCAATAGAGCTGAACGCAGCTCTAGTAGGATTCTTTGAGAGCTGGACGCAGCTCTAGTAGGACTCTGTAAAATCTGGGCGCAGCCCTATTAGGTTCCAAGGCTTCTATTCGAACTGGGTGTAGCTCTGTTAGGATCGTAGTACAGTTGGACGCAGCTCGAGTAGGATCCGATCAGAGCTGGACGCAGCTCTAGTAGGGTTCTACTAGAGCTGTGTGCAGCTCTAACAGGATTCAGCACGAGCCGGGGGCAGATCTAGTAGAGCTGGATGCAGCTCCAGTAGGATTATACGAGAGATGGACGCGGTTCTGTTAGGATTCAATCGGAATCACGCGCAGTTTTCGAAAGATTTTGTGACAGCTGGACTCGGCTCCAGTAGGTTTCTATTGGGACTGGACGCAACTCCAGTAGGATATTTTGTGACGTCGACGCAGCTTAGTAGGTTCCAGTGAGAGCTGGACGCAACTCTAGTAGGATGTATTTTGAGAGCTGGACGCAGCTCCCGTAGGATTCGATAGTTGCTGTACGCAACCTCAGTAGGCTTCTTTTTGGGCTGGGCGCAACTGTAGCAGGATTCTACCCGAGCTGGACGCAGCACTTGTAGGATCCTATAAGAGCTGGACCGTCGGATTTTATTCAAGCTGGATGCCGTTCTCGAAGGATTCCGTGCAATCTTGACGCAGGTCTCATAAGATCCCATACGGGCTGGACGCAGCTCTCGTAGGATCCTGTTCGAACTGGGCGCAGCTGTAGTAGGATTGTATCAAAGCTGGACCCAACACTTCCAAGATTCTCTGAGAGGTGGAGGCAGCTCTAGTAGGATTCTAGTAGGTTTGCTGCAGGAGCTCGCTTCGGTGGCGCGCGCATCCGTGCCCTGTTTAGAATTCCATTGGAAACCTTCTTTGCTTCATTTCCATTAGCGCGTGATGGTTCTGGTTGCGTGGTTGCGGTTGCGACCCCCCCGTCGCAACCTGGGGGCAAGGTGCCAAAACCCCTTCCAGCTTGGCGAGGCCAGGGACGTGGCACCCTGCTCCCAGGGTGCAACGAATCCGTCTCTGCGTTGAGCTTTCACTGCTGCAAATACTTTTAGACGCTTCGCGTGTCCCCACCAGCCCATCCAGAAACGATGTCCAGGCGAGTTGAGAGGTGATCAGGGAAGCGCGGGAGTAAAGAGGGGGACGGCCGAACCGTGTGAAGGAGAGACGGGGCGAATGAGTGAGAAAATTTGATGGATGGATGAGGGAGTAGGGAGAAGGAATATGAATCTGATGAGTAGGATGAGGAGGATGAGGAGGCGGAGGGGGAGGAGGAGGAGGAGGATGATGATAAGGGATAGGAGGAAGGACGAAGAGGAGAGAACGCAAAAGGGCCAGAGGTCTCTTGGATGCTTCTCGGAACCTCTTGGGGTATCTCTTGGGCGTCTTGGGACGTCTTGGGGGTCTCTTGGCGGTCGTATGGGGGCTCTTAGGCGTCTTGGGTGCCTCAGAGGGGGCCTCTTGGGGCCGCTTGGGATCCTTTTGGGGGCCTCCTGGGGGCCTTTTGGGGGCCTCTTGGGGCCATCTCGGGGCCATCTTGGGACCTCTTGGGGCCTCCTGGGCGCTTCTTGGGGCCATCTTGGAGGAGATCGGTCAACGCCGGGGGGTTCCTCAATTACGCCCCCCCCCGTACCCCCCCCCGTACTACAGTTCCTAACACAACAAGTCGTACATGTCTTTCGCAGCTTTTACCACAGGTCCCACAAGTGATCTTGCCAAAGGTTTTACACTTGCTCTTACTACATCTATTGCGGCAACTTTTCATACTAATCCCTCGATCGCCAAGCTCAGCCTCTACACCTGGTACTACGGCTCCTCATGCAGCTTCTACGACGTATCATGTGCCAGCTGTTCTCACGAGCATTACTACAGATAGCAGTGCCGATCTCAATGCAACTCTAGCGACACATCTTGTTGTCACAGCCAGTTGTACTCCTCCCAATGTTATATTGCAGATGCTCTCGCAGTTCGCATTGCAGCCAGTAGGACCACTCCCACTATACCCCTTTCGACTGCCTGCGCTGCATTGCCTGTTGGTGATGATGCTATTTGCGTGCCTGATGGCGAGGACGATTAGGCAAAGGAGATGGGAGGTGGAGGATGACAGAAGGAAAAGAGAGAGGATGAGGCAAGGGCAAGGCGATGAGAAGAGATGAGGAGGAGGAAAAGGAGGAGGAGGAGGAGCGGCAAGAACGATGAATCTGATACGAGGTGGAGGCAGAGAAGGAGGAGGTGGAGGAGGAGGAGAAGGAGGATCGATGATCGTCAGTCGAACTTTTCTTTGTTTTTTTGGTTTCCGTGTGTGTATCATCTATACATGTATACAGAGAGATGGAGCGAGAGAGAGTCCAGCATCATGACACAATTTTTAGTATACTGGAGCATGGAGCCAACTTCTTCGACATCAGCACCACGCCGTTAGTGAGGCCTTCCTATATTCAGCGCCGAGGTTGTATTTCTATGTTTTATCGATTCACGATGTAACTGCAGTCCGTCTCGGCGATGGCACCGATACAATACCGCCCACTCATTTGGTATCTGCGGTGCTCCAGCAAGCTGCCACAGCCGACACGATCTCCGTGGTGCAGGAGCGAAAGATGCAGCACTGCGCGTCTGCCGCACCACCGTCTCCAGCAACACGTGAATCATCCAGGTAATGGCCTCCACCAGTGTACGTGGTAGTTCTACTGACGCCACGTGCCGGACACGCGACGACGACGACGACGCCATGCCTGGCATCGACGACGCAACTGCCGCGGCCACCGGCACCCAGCAGGGAGGCCGAAGAGACGCGTGCCGAACGGCCGCCCCCATGCCCTCCGCGCCCTCCCCCCCCGCTGCCTCCCATCTCCTCCCATCGGCTCCCCCTCTCGACGTCGTCGCCGCCGCCGCCGCCGCCGCCGCCGCCGCCGCCGTCGTCGCCGTCGTCGTCGTCGTCGTCGTCGTCGTCGTCGTCGTCGTGGTCGTGGTCATCGTCGTCATCGTCGTCTCGATCCCGCTGGATGTGCATTGGGCTGGTGCGCTGAGCGGCTTCCTGGGGGCCGCGGGAGGCTGCCGAGGGGTGCCGCCGAGAGCGGCTGGCCGACAGGGCCTCGAGGCGCAGGCCCTCAGAGAGAGACATAGGACCTTCCCCGAGTCTCTGCCTGTACCACGTCAAGCTGCCGCCCGCTGCGAGGGACTCTGCCCCCAGTTTCTTGCCTGCCCCACGCCCTCAGTACACCGCCTAATTCGTGCTGCGGGGGGTTTGGCAGCGCACGCTCTGAGAGTCGTCGCCTGATGCCCTCGTCGTCCTCCTCCCTCCCTCCCTCCCTCCCTCCCCTCGCCCTCGGCCTCATCGCCGTTCGTCGTCGTCGTCCTCCTCCTCCTCGAGCCCTCGCAGCCCGCCTGCCTCCTGCGCCCCCCACGACCGTGAGCGCGCAGGTGGAGGAGAAGGCGAAGCTGCCAGAGGCCAAGAGCCCTCCCGACCCTCCCGCGGTGGGAGGGAGGGGGGGGGGGAGGCAGGCCATGTGGGTCCAGGATCGGTCGGCCCGGGCGCAGTTCGGCCAGGATGGCCTCCCCGAGGCAGGGCCGGCTTCGATCCAGATTCTGCAGGGCTCGGGCTTTCGAGGTTTTCGAGGTTTTCGGACGTCCTCGTCGGTTCTCGTCAGCTAAACAAGCCTCGGGATGCCTTCCAGCGGCTGCGCCTCGCCGAGGGCGTTCCCAGGGGGTGCCTCGTCGTCGTCGTCGTCGTCGTCGTCGTCGTCGTCGTCGTCGTCGTCGCCGCCGCCGTCGTCGTCGTCGTCGCCGTCGTCGTCGCCGTCGCAGTGGTCGTGGATCGTCCCGAGCGGCCGCCAAAGACCCGGAGGCCTCCGCGGTTTTGTGCCAGTCCGGGCCCGTCCGGGGGCTGCGCCGCGGTCGGCCGCATTCTCTCGTCGGCGAGCCCAGGGCGCGAGTGAGAGGGGGCAGGCCTCCTTAGAAGGTCACCACCCACCAAACCACCCCAACCCAACCCGAAGGCTCAGATTTGCCCTCGATTTCCAGTGGGGGGGGGGTCGGGGAACATCGAAAAAACACATGGAGCCCGTACCCCCCCCAACCCGAAATTCGGGTCAAATTCGGGTCTTCGGGTTGGGTTGGGGTGGTTTGGTAGGTAGTCATCTTCTGCGAAACCGTCTCCGTCTTCGGAAAACGACGTAGAAGGCTTCTCCGAGGGCGCGACGGCTCCTGAGGAGCCCCGCCGCCCTCTGAGGAGGCCCTGCCCTCTCTTGCTTCCCCCCTGGGCTCGCCGCCGATATTCTGTCGGTTCGGCCCTGTCGGTTGCTGTGCCGTCGTAGAGTGTCGGCGGCATTCGACGCAGAGCCCTCGCACCCGACAGCGCTCGCCCGGCGCGCCGAAGGCACGTTCAAAGTGCCTTCGGCTCCCGTCGCAGCCTCAATCCTTTTGCTTGGGATGTTTTTTTGTATCCGCCTCTGGTCATCGAAGTGACCCTAACCCTAGTAACAGTGAAGACGTGGCCTCGCTGAGGTCACCGTCTTTGCAATAGGGACAATGATATATCTGGGCGATTTGGTTCGATACATCTGCAGACCAGATCCCCTATCCCTACTGTTTTTTGCCCTCCTAACTTAGGTCTCCTCCCAAACTCCCCGAAAGATTAGGGGTCCTTTTTGGTTCATCATCTGGATAGAGCCGGGCAGCAGGAGACCGCTTTTCATCCCCCGGAGATCACGGGCGTGGCTGGCTGGTGACAAGTCATGATTCGCGCCGACGTGGGAAAGCTGAGACATCGCTTCTTCCCTCAAATGGCGCAGGCGCGCATCGTGGCTCATGACGTGACCAGGGGTGGAGCGGGGGATGGGCTGGGGCCGGTCACGGGCGTCATTGCGTGGTAAAATAATCCTTGGACGACATGTGTGCACCGTACCGTGTTGAGGCCTCTTGAGGCGTCGTCGATCCTCGATCCAGGAGTGGTAGGGCGCACGGTGTCTCGGTCCCCAGAGCAAGACAACTGTGCACCGTGCCGCGCTGGGGCGGGACCCGACGGGAGTCCAGGCATAGTACGGTGCATGTGCGCCGTCCTCGCAACAAAATACGGCGGGCTCCAGTCCGCTTCCCATTCAGGGCAGGGCTCGCTGTCGGTGTCGCCGTGGGTGTTGTCCGCTGGAGGCAGAGACGTCGCCCGCCCGGCAGTGGCTGTCGTCGGTGCCGGAGTCGCGGGCAGGCTCGCCGAGGCCTGGGATGCAGCCGAGCAGGCCAGCGCAGAGGGCAGGGGCATCGGGAGATGGGCGATCGAGGGCAGGAGTGTGTCCACCGAGCTCCGAGTGGGACCGATGAGATGGGGTCGCAGGCTCGCGCCGCATCGCCGGCGCATCGGCGATGCGGCGCAGTCCAGAGTGCGATGTCCTCCGTGGAGATGACGCCGCCGATGCGTCGCCAGTGTGTGGACGATGCGGCGCGATCCTCCGGCCCCATCTGCTCGGACCCTGTGTGTTACCGAACGCGTTCCACTACTCGCAAAGTGCCTACTCGCAAACGTGCGAGAAACAGGTGTCTGCCTCGACGTGATTTCTCGTAGATCTCCCCCGGCGGATCCAGGCCATTTGCGAGCAGTCACTTTGTGAGTAGTGGAACGCGCTCGTCCAGTGTGGGAGGCTTCCGGGGAAGGAGGGACTGTCCAGGCAGGCCCAGGCAGAGGATAAATCGCGCGCCAGAGCGTTCCAGGACGCTCTCGGAGAGCTCCGGGGCGCTTTCTGGGCAGGCCGCACCGCGGCTCTGGACCGCCGCGGCGCCCGATGCCCTCTGGACCTTTGTGGGCCCCGGAAACGGCAGGGCCGTTTTTTCACGGTTTCCAAAAAAAAAGGTCCTTGAAAGTGGAAACGGCAAAAAAACGGCGACCGAAAACGGCAAAAAAACGGCTCCAGGATTGGAACCGAGCCGGAACCGGTCAAAAAACGGCGACGGAACCGGTAAAAAACGGCGTCGGAACCGGCAAAAAAACGGCAGAACGGAACCGGTAAAAAAACGGCCCTGCCGTTTCCAGGGCCCACTAAGCTCTGGACCCGTTGGTCGGAGCTTCACCATGGCTGAGGCCTTGCGGCTGGTGCCGCAGGCCCTGGACGACGACCCCCCCACGATGGAGGAGGCATTCGGGAAGGTCGGGATGGGACGCTTCCAGGAGTGCCCAAGAGGCTGCACGAGGCCCCCAAGAGGTGTCCCAGAGGCTCCCCGAAGTCTTTTGGGGGGTGTCTTGGGAGCCCTGCGGGGAGCCTCCCGGGGCTTCACGATAGATCCCCATCCGAGCTTGTCGCCATCTTGGGCGTTCGATCGTGGGGCCCCTCGTGGCACGCAGCCGCCCAGGCCTCCGTGGAGGGAGCCGCCGACGACCGCCCAGACGACCGATGACGAGGGCCACAGGGCCGCCGGAGACCGGCCGATGACGAGCGCAGGGCGGGCCTGTGCCGTCGCAAGGTTGAGCACTGACAACGGCCCACCATCGATCGGGCCAGAGTACGGTAGGTTCGCGTCGTGTCGACCGGCGGCGACCCCGCCGCCGACGTTCAACGTTGAACGCCGACGGCGGCCCAGAATCGGTCGATGTTGAACGATCGGACGTTGCGGAGACGGCCGATCGTTCAAGGTTGAACGATCCAGCGCGGTGTCGGGAACCAACGCTGGCGTCGGCACGACACGAACCTGCCGTAAAGGGGGGATTGGGAAAGGGGGGGGTACGAAATTTGCTGCATGCAGCTGGTTTCGGCCTCACCGAGGGGCCCATTCCTCGATACATAGCCGCCTCCGGCGCCGGAAGGCGCCGGAAAGATTAGCTACGTGAGCCGATTCTCCCCCCCCCTTATGCTATCCCCCCCTTTCGCCCGACCCGAGTCGACCAACACAGTGAGCGGCTTGAATGAGGAACATTTATTTTTCAAAAGGGGCTCGGTCGTTTTGCATGCGTTCTTTAACGTTGCGTATGCGTTGCGTATTATTTCTCGTTCCTTCTGCGTTGTTCCCTGGGAAAAGAAGGGGCTTGGTCCCTTCTTTATCGTTCCCAAGGTCAGGCCGTTGACTGCTCGATTAGGGGATCAACTACAGAATTGATTTGCCCCCAACTGGATTTTCTCGTTGAATTTGTTAAGAAAGACGTAAACGATTCGTAATATCTATGGAACACTCTTCCTATGTTTTCGTAGATGCGATTGAAGAATCCATTTCGGGGGAAATTAATTCTGCTGTCGATCCCCTACTCGAAATACGGGACGACCTGGCGATCAAAAAACCGCCCACATCGCCGAAGGTTGAGAGCGGCCCGCGCGGTGTCAGAAGCGCCAGCGCCGGGGGCGTCGTGGCACAGTCCGCCGTGCCTGGAAACATCCGACGTTTGAGAACATGTTGCAGCATCTCGACACATCACGGAACCATCCGACGTCTGCAAACATATTGCAGCATCGCGACACATCACGATTGGAGCCTTTCCTTCTTCGTCTCGATCTCTCGTCTCCGCTCCTCGCCGGTGCTTGTGCATCTGTGGGCGGCCGCACTCGTCGCGGAAGTCTTCCGCGTCTGAGTGCTCCTCCCTCCCCTGGTCCTCTGCGCGGCCGCCCGCGTCCTTTTTTCCCCCTCTCGCGCGCTTGCCGATTCGCAGTTCGGTCGTCCCGAAACGCCACCCGCTGGAGCAGCTTCTCTGCCCTGTAAAAATTGTTTACTTGCGGGATGTTGTTCTCAACGAAGCCACTGATCAGGTCTGCCGCACATCGCCACGGAGTGCACGGGCTGCTCGAGAGATGCTGCGGTCGCCCCCGACCCCACCAGAGTCAAACACCACGAGAGGATGCCTTGACCCCATCTTGCTGCTGCCTTTTTCGAGCCAGATCGATCCGTGATGGTCCAGGGGCCCGAGACCGAGCAGGAGCGCCCTGTGCGACAAGAGACTGCAACAGCCAGATCTCATGCACACCAACGCCAGGGTGGTCTCGACGATCTTCAGGACGTGGGTTAGTCCAGTGGATTGCCTACCCCGTCCAGCACCACCGACAGCACGCCGCCCGTGCTTGCCCTCATGACGCCGCCTGCGCTGTCTTGAAGGGCTTCGGTGGACCAGCACGTGTCGGCGCCAGCGCACGCTCCGAGGCCTTGACCGCCGATCCCCACGACGTGAGCCTTCTTCGAGCGTGCGCGGCGCCCGCTTGCGCCGCTTGCGCGTCGACCTCGGGGCCGACGCCGGCGGCCATCGCCGCGGGCTCCTGCGGGCCCTCGCCGCCTTGGGCGCGGCGCGCCGGGCGCTCGGCGAGGCGCTCGGCTCGACGGCCTCGGGTGGCGTCGGCGACCCCCGCCCGTCGGCGGAGAGGCGCCGCCCAGAGCTCGCGGCCGCTCTGCGGAGCTCCCGCGGCGCCCTTGGGGCCACTGCTGGATCTCCGGGGAGCAGGGGCAACGGAAGGGGGGGGGATTAGGTCGGGCGAAGAGAACTATGCACATGCACCGATCCTGACAACGTCCATCCTTGACCCAGGATCGGTGCATATACCTTCCTGACCAAGGTAGAGGGCGTATGCACCGATCCTGGGCTCAGGATGGGCCTGGCCAGAGTCGGTGTATGTGCATAGTTCTCTTTCCTCTATTAGGCACAGTGGGGGATGCATCGACCCCCAATGACCCATGCATCGCCGGCAGGGGCCCGATGGCCCACCCCCGCACAGGAACGTGCGGATTCGCCACCGGGAGCCTGGCGCCGCCGATCTATCGACGATGTATGGCCGATCTATCGGTCGATGTTCGCCCCCCCCCCCCCCCCCCCCCCATGTGCCAGTTCACCCCCCATTCGTTGCCTCTCAGAGGGGCAGGGAGTCATGATGACGTCACCCTGCAGCACCGCCCAGATACCCAGGATGTTATGCTGCTCCGCGCGCCTCGAACTCCTGGAGCGTATCCTGAGCCACTCTTCGGAACACGCGCAGGGGGGTAATCAGGGGGAGGGGGAAGGCTTCTTGTAAAGAGGCCGTTTCTTATAGAGGGCACGGGCCCTGTCTACAGACGTAAGGCCAGCACCCTCTGAGAAGCAGCCTCCTTCCAAGAAGCCTTCCCCCCTCCCCCTACCCCCTTTGCAAGCCGCCAAGTGGAGGAGGAGGAGGAGGAGGAGGAGGAGGAGGAGGAGGAGGAGGAGGAGGAGGAGGAGGAGGAGGAGGAGGAGGAGGAGGAGGAGGAGGAGGAGGAGGAGGAGGAGGAGGAGGAGGAAGAGAATGAGGCCTCACTTAATTACCCCCCCTTCTGCGCGCCGCCAACTTCTCGTGACGTCACTCTTGTCTTTCTCCGTGACGGGTCGGCGCGAGGCCACGGAGGTGACAGCGCGCCGCGCACCGAGGGGCGGCGCGAGGCAGCGGGGCCGGGCAGCTCAGGAGCACTCCTCGGTCCTCCTGGCTCCTCCTCGTACCCATGCCGCTGCCCTTGGCTGGTTTTCCCAAAAGGATCAGGCCAGAGAAGCACCCCCCCGCGGGTCCTTCCGTTCCGTTCCGTTCCTTTCCTGGTTTTCCTCCTCTTGGGCTGCCCGGGAGGCCCTCGCCGCCACCGCTGGATTCGCCTCGAAATCCTGGTCAGAACCATACCTACCGTTGCCCGGCCCTGGTTGTCCCCTTTTTTGGGCTGCCTGGGAGGCCCTCGTCGCCACTGCTGCATCTGCTTGGAAATCTTGGTCAGAACGCGCCCCGGGAGAGGCCACTTTGGGGCGCTGCGCTGGACCCATAGTCCAGGCTGCTCAGCTACGTGGTACACCTTGCCACCGAGTTTGAATTCCCCTTTCGCGTTATAATGTTCCAACCCACTTTATTCTTGATCACCAGAAAGAGTTTTGATCATCACGAAAGTATCGGAAGTTTAGGGGTTCCAAGTGTCGGGCCTTGGGAGGCGATATTCGTTCGACACTGTTTCCACACTTGTCTTGGAGCTCGAATTTATTTCTGGGATGTGGCCCTTAAGTACGATGGGAACAGCACAACTTTCGCGAGTCTCTTGAGCCACTCGGAGGTCCAGAGCGTCGACCGACCACCTCACCGGCCCTGGCCAGGCTCGTCTCAGGCCTGGGATCGCTGTGCGCGTGCTCGATCCTCGGGCCTCTCGAACCTCAGAATTTTCTCGATCCTCGTGATCTCGATCCCCGAACCTCACGCGGCTCGAATTGGATTGGTTTTCGAATCCTCGACCCTCGAACCTTTCGATTCTCGATCCTCGAGCCTCACGATCCGCGAACCTCTCGAACCTCGAATCCTCGGCGCCTCCCTGGCCGAGCTGGGATGGCGTATGCACCGGTCCTGTGTGCCCACGACGGGCCTGGCCAGGATCGGTGAGGGTGGCGCTGACATCCCGCCAATCCGCGGTGCTTCCCCGTACGGCGCCCCTGGGCCGCCTCGACTGCAGGCCGCTTGTCCGCCAGTCCGAGCCTTCCCCTTCCCCGCCCCCAGCGGCCCCGCGCTCCTCCCGCCAGTGGAGCGAGTGGAACCAGTACGACGACTGGGAGGAGGCGCCCTTGCGCCTCCTCCCGCAGTGACATCGTCCTCGTCGTCAACGTCGGCGTCCTCGGATGACGTCGGGGAGGAGGTGGAGGAGGAAGAAGATGATGATGATGAGGAGGAGGAGGAGGAGGAGGAGGAGGA